AGAGCGAAGATTCATTAGTTAGCTTGCTCGCTAACAGCATGGCTGCTCGGCCTCAACTCTGCCAACTGCTAATGTAGCTGCTGTTAGCTGTTATCGTAGCCCCGGGGTGGCAGCAGCCAAACCCAACCAAAAATATCACCAGTACTTTATTCCCTGTAGTCAAACTGTCCTCCGTCGGCATCGGCTGCTGTATTCGTCCCAGTCCGACAGCTAACAGAACCTCTGCAGCGCCTTACATTCAGAAATATTATCAATAACTGTTCTTACAGGAAACAAACACATTAAACACATTAAAGCAAACAGCTCTCTGATTTCTGTTGCATGTGGACTTTAAATATGAAGTATAGAACAGTCCACTATACTGTTGATTACAACCGAAGCTCCGGAGCCCAAATATTCGTATTTTGGGACAGCAGGATCCCTAATTCGGAATCATTTGTGGTAATGTGAGGATGGAGGGCAGAGTGACACTTCACACAGGGAGTCAGTCAATAAATCCCTGGAAGTTTGAAGTTTTCTGTCCAGCAGCAGCGATTTATCAGACAGATTCAACCTTTGATCAGCGGAGAAGAAGCCATAAAAGTCACCAGATTGCGAAATATTCACATTATTGAAGCCAGCACGGAAACTCGGTACATCAAAAATAGCTCTTAAAGTTTTGGAAACCCTGTTGGACCAAATCATCTGTGTGACTAAAAATCGGATTTATTAAATGATTCCTGCAGGGGTTTGTTTGTATTGCAGCGGGAAGCAGCAGAGCGCTCACATCATCTGTTAGTGCTTAATAGATTTAGCTAATAATCCTACTTAGTGGCTCGCAGTTATCAGGGCCTATTAGCATGTTTAGATTTCACACACTGATAAGAGCCTGTCAGCAGCTTCCATCATGTCTTGAATAATTGCTGACGGTTCAGAGTCTGCGAGCAGTTTATAAACTCCCCCAAAGGACTGGATGTGATCAGAAAAGTGGATGTAATGATGTCTAATTTCCTCAGAGGTTTACAGATCGGTGATAAACGGCGAATGTGTTGAACACATGCAGCAGAACGGGAGCTGAATATGATGCTGCGATTGGCCAAATGAATGATATCACACTTAGGAGTGTAATCAATTAAAGAACCCGGAGTATGGATTTAATATCTTCAATGCAAGGAGAGTTATTGAGTCTGACCTCTGGAGGTTGTGTAGGTTTGGTTTCAGAGGTTAGAAAAGAGGGAGCAGAGACTGAGATAAGACATCTTTAACCACAAAATATAAAATAATACAGTTAAAGAATTAAATAATAATTAGTTTATGAATCAATTCTTGTTTCTGAAACTATTTAAATGACTAATTGTTGGGGCGTCCGATAGCCAGGAGCTCATTAGGGCTGTGTATGGGCAAGATGTATCACGATACAGGGGTTATGATTCAATATATTGTGATACTGTACATTCATTTAAAAAAATAATTAATATGCATAAAAGGATCTATATTAGTATTTATCAAAACTGCTGTACCATCCGACATCACAGCCCTCAGTTTATCTGTTTAAACACAAAAATGAATGCAGTGTTTTTGAGAATTGATTATAATAATGATAACTTTATTTGTATAGCACTTATCTAAACAAGGTTACAAAGTATAAATACGAAGCAAAGATAAAAGTATGCATACAAAAATAGAATTTCAGAACAAAAGAAAATAAAAGAACGCAGCAGCAATATATAATAAGTTATTCCTGGATAGAAATCTTTAAGCAATGATTTAAAAACTGGTCAAAAGTAAAAGTCACCGGTCTTGACTTATAGGAACTAGCGAGGGTAGGCTAGAGGATCTCAGGTTATGAGTTACGGAGTCAACCTGAACTTAACTGGCAACCGATAGACGGAGACGACAACTGAGGTGATATGTGACATTCTGCACTAGTTGAAGCCACTTTTCCACCAACGGGACTCTTTTCTGGTTCAGGCACCTCATTTCGGAGCATTTTGACCAACATTAAATTAGTTCAGAACCAAGTGGGCGTGTCATATTCTACAGTGGTGATGATGCGTCTGATTAAAATGGTTCCACTCAAAACTGCTGGAAACATCGGCTGCTTCATTAGATAGCACCATGGTTCCTGGAGTCTTAAGTGGAACTGGTTCAAGAACCAGAGCTAATTCGTTCTGGTTCAGGCCACCAGTCTGAAACTGTTTGTAGCATTTTGACCAAAAATAAGTTGGTTCAGAACCCGAAGACTTGGTTTCCATCTGAAACCAAAAAATTCCAGGTTTAAGGCTCCAAGAATCTTGAACGGAACCAGCTCCAAACCCAGAGCGAGTCTGGCTGCGTAGCAGCCCCCATGAATTTCCACCAATCAGATGGCAAACTGTTTGTAGCCTGACAGACAAAACCTAGGGCAATAAAAGTCCCAATAAAGGCTGATGTTGCTCCTGAGACGTGTGTTTCTGCATTTATGTAATCAGAATTTATTCAGCTGAGGAGATTTTACAGAGAGTCACTTAAACTGCAGCTGGGAGACTGTAGAAGAGAAACGGACGTCACCTGTGTCCCCCGTGGAAATCACAGCCTAATCGGTCGTGAATAAGCTTTAAAATGACACGTACATAACAGTAAAAGTTCATATAAGTATTATTTTAAATGCATACAGGCCTTCTGTTTATTAACAATATGAATTATACGTGTATGAGAGTGGATGTATACCCAGAATGCTTTTCTGTGTGTTTTGATTGTGAGCGCAGCAGTGAGAGTGTTTGTTCTGTGGGCAGAGCGAGTGGGAAAGAGGAAATAGTGATGTTGGAGGGAGAGAAGCAGCACATCTGTGATTAATGTGTAGCAGAGAGCGATGCAGAAATCCTTTGATAAAAGAGACTCGGGGCTCATTCCTGAGGCTGTGCGTCAGCGGACAGCGAGCCCCTGCGAGCGCCCACGACTTCTAATAATGGATTTGATTTCACAGCGAGGAGCAGCGTTAGCACCCCCCGAGTCACGTCGTCATCTGTTTAGCAACGGGTGGGTTGGGGGGTGGGGGGGTAGATTGTAGATGAAGGATGTGAGTGTGTGTGCGTTTGTATTTTAAGGCAGAGAACGTTGATCTGTTTTTAGATTTCAGAGTTTTATAGTTGTTTTTATTGTCATTCCACGTGACGAAGGTCAGAATACAACCAGGAAATGTGACACATAATCACCTCATTTGAGTCTTCACACCAAGTAGAAACAGAACTGTTGAACTGACATGTGTTGGTGTTTCTAAGTATAACAAAACTTAGTTTCAATTCACAACTAACCAATACCAGGGCCACAATCACTAATGCCACTACAGTATGTAAGAACACGTTAATACACTTTCACTATCACTGAATTATTATTCACTTAATAACTGTCAAATGTTTATCTAATGGTAATAGAGCGAGGCAGATCTTAATAATGTTACAGTTGATTCTCAACAAGACGTAGTTTCAGTAGAATCAATATTTTAGATCTCATTCTGCTGACCCACATGTGTGTAAAAACTTAAGCGTTTTAGAGATTACGTTTTTTAATAATTATAATTAATTTTATAAAACGACCCGAGAATAAGAACAGACTGTGAGGTGTGCAGGAGAAACTACAGTGGTGGCAAAACACGCAGGAGACTAAGAAATTATATGTATACAACAACCTTTATAATAAAGATATTTAGATTATTGTACCAAATGCAATGAAACCAGGTAACTATATAAAATTAAATCCCAATTCATCAGTCATAACTCTTTTTTTAGGCGGTTACCGCACATCAAAAACAAAAAAGTCTCTTCACACACTCTTCGATATAAACACACTCCTGAACACAGCCTCAGATATCTCTTAATGTGCAGATAAAGAGCTCAGGATGTTGTTAACATAAACTCAGTGTCCACTAACTGTCTTATAGGAGCTCTCAGCTGTCTCTCACAGTCTTCATCGCCATATATGAAAGCTTCTTCATGTTTTATGTTGATGAACCTTTGAGTTTAAATTGTTGGGTAACTGAATGTAAACTGTGGGGTTCTGATTCATCCAATGGGAACTCGTATGCCGACTTGTGTCTTTGGGCCTTTGAGGGTTTCTGTAAAAAGTGTGTGACGGTGTCCATCACAAGACGAGCGCCTTTAAATCTTCTTAAACTTTCACTCGACTTTCATTCAACCTCATTCCTGCTGTTTCCTCTTTGCTTCCAGGTTTGGTTCCAGAACCGGAGAGCCAAGTTCCGCAGGAACGAGCGCGCCATGCTGGCCAGCAAAAACGCCTCGCTCCTCAAATCGTACTCAGGAGACGTGACGGCTGTGGAGCAGCCAATCGTACCGCGCCCTGCACCGCGCCCCAACGACTACCTGTCCTGGGGCAGCGCTGCCCCCTACAGGTAGAGACCACTCTCAGCCAATAACGTCTGTTTGCACACCGCACCAACATCTGCGTCAACGCCGCCGCTCTGCAGCACAGTAGAGGAAGAGGAACTTAAACTACCAAAGTAAAAGCACAGCAAAAAGAGATTCAAGTGTCAGCAGTGAAAGTAACGTCATTGAGAGGAAGTGAAGTTTACTGTTGGGGGGGAAACCTCGTATCTCCAGTTTTTCATGCTTTTATTTCAGTTGAAGAAGGGAGGAAGAAAAGAAGAAAATAGAAAAGAATGGAGGAAAGGAAGGAGACAAGAAGTTAACAAATGACAGAAAGTAAGAAAGGAAGCAAAGGAGATAAGAAAGAAGGACAGAACAAGCAAATGAATAAAGGAGAAAAGTAGAAAGGAAAAAGTAAAGAAATGAAAGAGGTAAGAAGGGAGGAAACAATGAAAGAAGGGACTGACGTAAGAAACAAAGGACAGTAAGAGGGAAGGCAAGAAGAAAAGAAGAGGAAAAAAGAGGAAAGGGGGAGAAAGTTAATAAATGACAGAAAGTAGGATGGAAGAGAAGGAAAAAAGAAAGAAGGAAAGAAGCAAAGGACAGTAAGAAGAAAGGAAAGGACAAGTAAATAAAGAAAACAGAAAGAAAGGAAAGAAGGAGAAAAGAACAGAAAAGGTTAAAGAAATTAAAGAAGGGAGGAAACAAGGAGAGAAAGGACTGAGGGAAGGAAAGAAAGAAGGAAAGGAACAAACTGACATTACAGGAGTTAAAGTAGAAAGTCTTTCCTCTGCGTTCTGCTGCTGAATCACACGAGTGTCTCCAGTTGAAAAAGCATGAGCTGAAACCACAATAACCACATGTTAACAGCACACACACACACACACTGACCCTGGCGCTGCTTCCTGTTATTGTTTCATTTCCTCCTCCTCCTCTACCTGCACATACTCCTCATAGCTCCTCTGATCATCTTCATCTCCTCTGATCCACCTGGACTCAGAGTGACGTTGATTCATTCCACCTTTATTTACACGTCCTCCGCTGACAGTGAACAATACTGGAATATAAAAGTCTGGTGATCTTCTGTATGTTTCTTCTTGTCATTAAATCTCAACCCAAACCAGCAGCGTGTCGGTCCGTCCCTCAGTACCGTCTGACTTCCTGTCTGTGGC